TTAGCCATGAAAGTTTTAGGAGAAGTCACTTATATCTTATGATTTAAACACTTACATCAGTAAATTAAAATGAGATGAATAAAGAAACCTCCCTTAAATTAAAAAAAAATATATACTGATTATATATATATATACTTATATATGTATGTATTTATATGTGTATTTATATATAGAAATAGAACAAGCTGTCAGGCTGTGTATTCTTTGAAGCTACTCACAACCAATCCTGAGATTGTTCATTTGTCCAAACATCAATGCCTATCAAGGGTAACACTTTTAATTAATTAATTAATTTATTTATTTATTTATTTTAAAGATTTTATTTATTTATTTGACAGACAGAGATCACAAGTAGGCAGAGAGGCAGGTGGGGTTGGGGGGAGGCAGGCTCCCTGCTGAGCAGAGAGCCCGATGCGGGGCTCGATCCCAGGACTCTGGGATCATGACCTGAGCCGAAGGCAGAGGCTTTAACCCACTGAGCCACCCAGGCGCCCCAAGGGTAACACTTTTTAATATTTGAATGATGCATTCAAAGTAAGAAAAACAAGAGGAAGGAAGAAAAAGTGAAATCGGTCTAGAGGAGTATCTCCATGAAAAGAGGTTATGGGTCAATAAATATGGGCCAAATATATGTGGACTTACTAATTTCTTACAGACAATAACACACTTTGTTTTTCTAAGTTAGTAAAACATTTCTCTCCCACATTCATATAATTATATGCCCTAAAATGGCTGTTTCTATCATGGTTTTTTAAAAATATTTTTCTTATTTATTTTTTAGGAAGAGAGAAAGAGAGAGCATGAAAGGAGAGAGGTCAGTGGGAGAAGCAGACTCCCTGGTGAGCAGGGAGCCCGATGTGGGACTGGATCCTGTGACTCAAGGATCATGACCTGAGGTGAAGGCAGTCGCTTAACCAACTAGTTGAGCCACCCAAGTGCCCTCCATTATGTTTTAAGAGTGAACAATTTCAGGGCAGGGGGGTGGAGCAGTCATTTAAGCAATTGACTCTTGGTTTTGGCTTAGGTCATGATCTCAGGCTCCTCAGATCAAGCCCTGAGGCAGGCTCTGTGCTCAGGACCAAGTCTCCTTGAGACTCTCTCTCTCCCTCTCCCTCTGCTCCTTGCATTTGTGCTCTCTCTCCTCTCACATTCTTTCTCTCAAATAAGTAAATCTTTAAAAAAAGAGTGAACAATTTCAAGTCAAGAAGCATCGACTGTACTAGTTTTCTTCTATTAATTTTTTAATTAATTATTTGCCTTTTTAGATTGCTAATGTATACATTATGGACAAGGACAAGAGCTGCATCAACAATTACAATCCAAATAAAGAAGTGAAAGAATGAGAAAAGAGGCATTATTTGAACTGTGTTGCAATGTGTTAATTGACTGGCAAATGAGTAACACTTGGATGGGTGAGGGCACATTTTAAATTAATTGTGGCAGAAATAATTTTCCTAATGGCATTCTTTCTGAAGAATATTTACTATGCTGTCCTACACATCCTTCCTTGTAAACTTAGTCAACCTCTTTTTCCTGAAGTTTTTAGTTCAAATACTATTTCTTTTCATGAAGTTTTTACAATCAGTACAGCATTATCTGTTTATCTCTCAAGAGAACTGTTCTTCTCTCTTTCATGTTTATACTCCCCATAACTGGGCACATGATGGGTTCTTAATTATATTTCATAATAACTGCATCAATACTGAAGAAAGAAAAAAGTAACCAAGAAGGTTGCATGCAGAAGAGGGACATTATTAAGCCAAGAGTATAGAAACTTTCAAGCAAATCCAATTAAGCAACATTTATTAAGATTTTATTCATGAACACAGCATAGAGATTCTTGATTAAAATAGATGTATGGATTGGATTATATTAAGATTGCATAGATATGAGAAGCATTCAGTTAAGTAGAATGTTTGGTGCCATCCCAGGGGCTGTGATTCTACATTTTGATTCCACTAAACTGTGAGTCATTTGGAGTGAGGAGAAAGAGCTCATAAGTTAAGTGGAGAGCCCCATTCATCCTGGATATTTTATAGGACCTTCGGCACCTCTGTTCCATTTATTTTCACTCCTTCCAGTAAGAGATATAGTCCCTTAGGTTTGGGTAAATGATATGACCTCATTTCTTAGAATCTTTTGCCTTGAATCACTGTCTTTTATTGTCACTGGGTCAATTCTAGAGGCTTCATGGAGGCTTTGCTCAGATAATCTGTATTAGACACTGGACACGAAAAACCTGGTCATGAGTTTCAGATCCACAATTACTAGCTTTAGTTACTTGATTAAATTAGTTAAATTTTCTTAGCTTACGTTACTTTCCTTTAAAACTAAGTCTAATAACATATACCTCATAAAGGTAAATGAGAGGATAAATACCAGTTTATAAACTTTAAGAGTTATTTCTTAAATAAATAGAAAAATAAGGTATTTGTGTAGCTTATCTTGTCTTTATTCTTGAATAAGACAGAGCATATCCTCATGACTTTAGACCCAAGCCGCCATGGTCTCTAATTCACCACCAACTGGGCTATAACTTCAGGATGTCTGTTCTTGTTATTCTGCTTGGAGGGCTCTTACCTGACCTATTCATGCAGCTGCCTCCCTCACTGCCTTCAGGTCCGTGCTGATATTTTACCCAATCAGAGAGATCTTCTCAACACCCTACGTAAAACAGTACTCCCTAATCTTTCTATTCCCTCTATGATGCTTTATTTTTCTTCATAGCATTCCTCACTACCCATCTCTATCTCAATAACATTTATACTCCTTGAGAATAGGGATCTTATTTATTGCTTTACCCTTGGTATCGAAAATAATGCCTGATATATATAGACCTTCAAAAAGAAATATATGTTAAATAAACAAATACATGAATGTTCCCTAATCTATTAGTGAAGGATATAAGCTTTATGAAGTGTGACTTTGTGTAGCTCTACAACTTTTCAATTTATAATACCCAAGACAAGTTAAATAACATCTGCTAAGTCCCAAGTTACTTTTCCATAAAACCTGACATTAGCTCTAAGCTTGTCCTAAGATGGCCCATGGTTGTCTAATCTAATACAATTGTTTATGCTTCAACCAGGGTAATCTCTTCAAAATGCAAATATATTAAGTCACTATTTTTAAAAAATCCTTTAATGACTTGCTTAGGATAAACCACATTATTGCTTTAATGACATTCTTAGGATAAAGTCCAAAATCCTTAATTTGTTCTTGCAAGATTTAGAATCTGCTATTTTACAAACCTCAACACATGTCATCTCTGTGTTTCAGTCCTGATGGTCTTTTTTTTTTTCAGATCTTGAACACTGTCATGGTCTGTCTTAATTTCAGACCTGCGTTCACCTTGCCCTCCACATTTCCTCCCTCAGTCTGTCATTTATGCTTTTGCATAGCAAACTCCTGTTCACTCTTTCGGTCTTGGTTTAAAAGCAAACCTGTATGTCTATTTGCCTATCAATCTATCTATTCATTCTATGTTGACAGATCAGATACTACCAATATTCAACCAGGAAATGGCAATTTCCTAAGACTTCACCTGGAATGTCTGTTTCTCTTTGCTATGTTCTAAGCTCCACAAGGAGATCATGCCTTTTATCCACTATTATATTCTCAGAGCTAAGCACAGTACCCAAAACTTAGTAAGTTTCCTATGAATATTCTTTAATGTGCCAGTAGGAATAACCGTTATTGTGAAAATGGCATTTTTTGCTTGTTTTCCTGCCACATTAATTACTTTATAAAATGGAATCTATGAAAATCATGAGTGATGGTGAATTACTTAGAGAAACAAAAGATCAGGAAGGAGAAAAAGGAGAAGGAGGAGCTTAAAGAAGAAGGTAGGAAAAGCCAGAAGGAACACTGAAAGAACTGGGACAAGAATAAAAATGAGGGAAAGAGAGAGAGCAAAAGGGAGAGGAAGTGGAAGGGACATAGCATTTTCACGTTGCAGTAACTTGGATGCCTTGAGGTCTACCAGTGAAGGAATAAGAGGATTTTGTTATCAGTGATTTAGACAGTCATCTGGCACCAGATACATGTGTTTATTCCTTAAGCCACTTTTCCTTGGTCTCGGTTTTTCTTTTTTAATTTTAATTCTTAAAAAAATATTTTATTTATGTATTTGTCAGAAATAGCACAAGCAGGGGAAGCAGCAGGCAGAGCAAGGAGCCTGACACAGGACTCCATCCCAGGGTCCTAAGCCAAAGGGAGATTCTTAACTAACTGAGCCAACCAGGCATCCCCGCTTAGTCCCAGTTTTAATCACTTAACTTGAAGTTTACTGATCATAACCAACTTCTTTTTTAAGTATCTTGTACTTATTTCTGCTTTATTACTTAGATTTTTTTCCTGTCTCTTCTATTACTCGTTTCTCTTAAATTTTATTTTCTTATTAGTCGTGATGTTTTTATTTCAAAAGCTATTTCTCATCTGCTAATTTTATTATTTTATTTAAATTATTGATATGTGACTTTTATACAAATCTCAATATCTCATCCACAAATGTCTTCAGGCAACAATCAATTAAGTAAATAAGGCAGATTATTCCTATGTAAAAAAAGATGAAGTGTCAAATATTAATGACCATATCACAAGCAAGCAAAAAAATACATATTCTGTTTTGCAGAAGCATCATAAGGAACAAGAGAAGCTATGTAAAGTAATTATATTTCATGATTACTATCAGAAATTGTAGCAGTTCCTATGAAGAAAATCTCAATGTTGGTTATTCAATAAAATTTAAAAGGATTATTTTAAATTATCTTGAAAAAATAACTTATGAAGACTATAATTAATGCATAATTTTATGTGGCATGCTTGAAAAATCTATTGAGGATTTTGTATTTTGTACTGTATTGTTTTGCATGGAAAGATATAGGGGGAACAGATATCCCCAGTGTTGGAATTCATCAACTTCTATTAAGGGAATATTTGAAGCTGAAGGAACAAAGAACATAGAAATCAGAACCATAACGATTGGAGATAGATCTTACCATCTAGATCATTCTCAGGAGTCTCTGCTGTGTACCAGTTGGAAGGTGGTCCAGTGCCATTAACTGTCATGGCTGACACTTGGAAGCTGTACTGACTTCCTTTCTCCAGACCTATGAGAGAATTTTCCATAAAGAGGAAAAAAGTTACTGACTAACAAGTATTTCTAGCAGGATTTCAAAAGTTTTAGTAAAATTTTAACAACAGTAGACACACTTTACATGGTTTGTGATTGTTGTGGTAATTATTTTGGCCAAAAGGGCAGAAGTATTACGGCAAGAAATCAAATTATTTTTCATATATTCTCATTTTTTTCCTAGTTTATAAAATTGTATCCCTGAAAATAGCTTCTGGGCAGATGCAGAATATAAAATATGAACGATGAAGAAATAATAAAAAATAGCAAGGATCGTTTTTTCTCACAGTCTGCCTGTGAATTAAGAGCGCTGTCTATAAATCAAGAGCAGTCATTCTAAAAATTTATGTCTCCATCATTTATTCAAGGTCAGTGATTATGTTTTCTTTGGGCCAAGAAAAAAGAATCCAAAGCCACTGCACTTAAATAGAAAATATTAGGTGTTTTGTGTTTCAAAACCATCGCAAAACATACTTGTTTTGAATCACCTTTCATACTAGAAGTATGAAAAAAGTCTGTCTCCATGACCATTTGGACATAAACTATTGTACATAGTGATGGCATCAGGCCTTAGTTTAGACTGTACAGAGAACACAGGTTGATGAGAAATGGCCCATGTATCACTAGTGTGATATGTGTAAATTTTTACCTAAATAATATTCCTTTTAGCTAATGAGCTAGCAGCTCATTACCATGACATATTATTGTAAAACAAATGACACTTGTTAAAAAACTGTGTGACTTTTTTGAGACACTTAGGGTTTGGCTTAAAGCGACAAATCCTTAAACCTCAAGGAGCTGAATATCCCTAATAAAGTTAAAAATATAATCACTCTTTATTTTTTCTGTTAATTTAAAGTGACATAAATATTTAGTAATGAGAAAAATTCATAAAGAAAATGAAATATTGGAGAAATGATGCTTATCATGTACAATGTTACATATTTGTAGATTTTTTTTGCTGAAGCCAATGAGTAATCTTGGTCCTAAGGGGAATTTTAACTTATTATTAATTGGAGATAATACTTCAAATGATGGTTAGAATGGACTTGTTAATATCCAGGGCAGTTACCTTCAATAAATTTTACTATTAGAGAAGACAATTTGATAAATACACCCATACAAAAGTATCTATAACACAAAGTGCTATCTTCTTAAGAGACTTCTAATTTTGTAAGATAGGCTAAGCTCCATGAAGAAATAGACTGAGAATGGTTAATATTGCTGTTGTTTTTGTTAATGCTGGTGTTTTATTTGTATATCCACAGATCCCACTACACTCCCTGACACATGGAAGGCACACACAAAAAGCAGCTGTTGAAAGATCCACTAAAGCATTGCTTAACACACATGAAAATATGAGGTTAAAATACAATAACCAAAATCATCAGGTAGGCTGTGCTCACTTTGATTTGTCCCTTAGTTCACATGACATTGATCTGGATTTGTTAACATTTTGCACCCTTTCCTAGGCCCCATAGTTGGTTACTGAGGCAGAGGGATTATAGAGTTCTTCCAGATTATTAAAAATAATAGGGAGAGAATTCTGAGAAGAAATGCTTACCTAATCATTGTAATTCATAACTTTCATAGTGTTCTTATCTGACATAGTTTTAGACCATCAAGAATATTCTTTTGTATTAAGTAGAAATTTAACTTTATTTTTCTTTGAAATGGATGGTCAATAGTGCTAATACCATCTCCAATAATGAATAGAAACACCATCTGTGTTGGTCAGTTTTATGTGTCAACTTGGCTAGACTCAAGTGCCCACTTTTCAGTCAAACTTTAATCTAGGTGTTGCTGTGAAGGTATTTTAGAGATGTGTCTAAAGTCCATATTCAGTTGATTTTAAGTAAGGAATATTATCCTAGTGTGGGGGAGGGAGGCAGATTCAACCTGGTGAAAGGTCCTAAGAGCAGAAGTAAGGCTTCCCTGAAGAAGAAATTTCACCTACAGACAGCAACTTCAGCTCGAGAGTTTCGGCCTGCCCTTCCTAAGCCTGCCCTATAGATTTTGGAATCACCTAGCCAGCCATCACAATCAATTAAGCCAATTTCTTGTAATAAATGTCTTAGTACACATCACCACAGGTTTTGTGCCTCTTGCTAAACCCTGACTGACATACCATCTTATCACACGCAATATTTGACATAAAATGGAAATCTTTAAATGCCCTATATTCCATTCCATTCATTTGAATGGAACTTAAATCAAGTAAGTTTATGTGTGCAGAATCTATCAATTTTTAGTAGGGATGTATTAAAACATCTCACTAGAAAGTAGATAGGAGTAGTAAAAATAGTTCACTAGGAAGGAAAAAGATCTCTCCTTCAAGTTTTGCCAAATTTTCATTTATATATATTATGCTGAGGATATGCCAGTATCACTAATTCAGTTTTGAATAAAACAAAAAGCTACTAACAGTTTGGAGTGAAATTATGAGGAAATTTAGGGACTATCCATCAAGTATTTCCCCAGTGAAGCCTTGCTTGACCAGCCTGACCTATTGATCAGAACATCCCTTCCAACCAGGGAAGAGGGGTTGTTGATATCATCCTCTCTGACATCTGTAGTGAGGGTTTAACATGCTGTATATATTAATGAGTAGGTCACTCGGAAATCCTGCCAAATTTCCTTGAACTATTGTATTTTAGCTTAAAATTTTTTATTTTGCATTTTATTCTAGAATATACCTGTGTAATCTCTCTCACCAAAACACACCTAGAAATTCTAGATTAAGTATAAAAAAGTCTAAATATATACATAAAATCCCAATATCAAAAGAGGTCTTAATTAATATTTATTCGGATGGTCTATCGAGCACTATTTAGGTGTATGTCTAACTAACAATGTGATCTTGTAAACAAGAATGCCTTTGGCATGAGAAATTCACCAAGTGAAGGCACTTACTCAACCCTTTAGCTTACTAGAAGAGTTCTTCCTTAGATTGCACTGAATATGCTTTACTGTAGTATGTTTGCAGATAAGCTTAGTTTTATACAGCAGGGATAAAAGAAAACTAAATTACTCTCTTAAAATATCTTTACCCAAGTCTTCTGAATCTACATTTTGTCTTCTGAAACCTGTACCAACAGGATTAAACCTATGACATTCTTCTATATCTAGATAAGTGTAAGATGCGGTGATAGGCAGAACAAGACGTTTTGGCTTTTCAGAGAGGCATTCTGGATATTACCTTCAGAATTCTAGGTTGTAAATATTCCTGCTTCTTTGTTGTGAGGGGTACTTGCCTGGGCAAGTTTTAGGTGTACTGAAAGCTCTCTTAATCTCAATTTCCCGTATAAAGTAATTAGGCGATCATTGTTTTTCCATCTTATAAAGTCCTTTTGAGAATCAAATGACAAACTGCTTTTCTAAAATAGTTTATACAACTCAACATTTAATGGATATAAAGATAACATTGGCAAATTGCTTTCTGACTTGATTTTCACATACTCTATGATTTTGCCACGGAATGCATTATTACTTCCAGTCTAGGGATAAAGATAATAAGGTTCAGATAAATTAAGCAAGGTTACTATGTGGAGCTTTAATCACAACCTGGAAGCTCTTGGGTGAAAACCCTTGGTTCTGCCCTATCTCCTGTTGGGGCCCCAGAAACATTCTCCTCAGAGACCTACCTGGCCCAGGCTGGGGCCTAAGAGGGACGTCAGTGACAAACATAAAGCCCTATGTAAATATGCAAGGAATTCTTGTCTAAAATGATTATATCCGAAATTGAAAAATAAACAGGCAGGGAGGAAAGAATCCATGATTCTATAATTTTAAAAATGGATCAACCTAAGAGTTCAATAAAACTTCAAATTCAGTGTAGAATTAAGTTTTTCTCTCACTTAGAAAAAAGTATTACCATTGGAAAGAGGAGGTGTCTTCAAAAGTTATAACAACGATGACCATGAATTAGCAAGTTTTTGAGACACAAACCTGGATAGCTGATATCTAAAGATCTTTCAAAACAGTATCTATCATCTATTTATCTATCTATCTATCTATCTATCCATCCATCTATCCATCTATTCACTCATTCACTGAAGGTGGGGTAAAGGGAAACCTGTTTGGAATCAAAAACTTTGTGTGTGTGTTTCTAAAAGTCATTTCCCGGGATGTGTTTCCTGTGTTGGGCAAGTAGAAAATTTAAATAGCGTTTTTTAAAGAAATAGGTAGGAAAGCTTTGATTTAATTTCTTCTAGAGTTATGCAGCTCCTTTAGCTGTGAAGCTAATAGTCAATTTTTATTATCCAACAGATACCTTTTTCCAATTGTGCATTATTCCACTTTATTTATTACACTTTGTGTATCCCTTTATACACACAAAATCACACATTTATTGTCTGTGGTTGGTAACACATTACCTACAGTTTAAGAGCTAGGAGTATAGGTTTTCAATTCAGGCAATATTAGTTTTACTCCACCGCTCATGAGGTATGTGAACTTGAAAAGCTTGCTTACCTTCCCTCTTTGCCTAAGTGTCCTCATTAATAAAATGGGAATATATACATAAAAATTGTTACAAAGACTAAATTTGAAAAAATATATATAACGTGTTTTTCCACCGCTTTGCCAAGGAATATTAATACCAAAAAACGGACATATTTGCTGTATACATTTTGATGAGTTTGGACATATGCAAACATCCATGAGACCATTACTAGAACCATGGTAATAAACATACCCACCACTTCCAAAAGATTATTCGTGTCCTTTTTCTTTCTTTCTTTCTTTTTTTTTTTTTTGTAATGGTAGAAACACTTAGATCTACTTTCGTAACAATTTTTAAGTGCACAATACAGTATTGTTTTATAGCAAATCTCTAGAATTTATTCATATTGTATAACTGTCACTTTATACCCATTGAACAACTCCATTTTACCCTCCCCTTCTCCATTGGCAACCACCATTCTATTCTCTGCTTTCATGAGTTTGACTATTTTAAATGGCTCATATAAAAGGAAT